GGGATTGAACCCAGGTCATCAGGCTTGGCAGCAAGTGTTTCCAGGAGCTGCTTAATTTTTTGAATACACAACACTGATTTCAGTGGTCTGATCATTGGGGAAACTTCTGTAATCATAAAACCACAAGTATACTCTCAAAGTTAAGACAGTTTTATTTTCTGACTGTTGAAAGGATGGAAGGCAGAGAGGCTTATGAAAACCAATGACTCAGCAATTAAAAATTATTCTCTTTTAATTGAAGAGTATTGTATTTAAACATTTATTTTGTGTGTGTACCTGTGTGCGTGCTCGCACACATACCCCATGACACAGGCTCGCACACATACCCCATGACACAGGCTCGCACACATACCCCATGACACAGGCTCGCACACATACCCCATGGCACAGGCTCGCACACATACCCCATGGCACAGGCTCGCACACATACCCCATGACACAGGCTCGCACACATACCCCATGGCACAGGCTCGCACACATACCCCATGGCACAGGCTCGCACACACACCCCATGACACAGGCTCGCACACACACCCCATGACACAGGCTCGCACACATACCCCATGGCACAGGCTCGCACACATACCCCATGACACAGGCTCGCACACATACCCCATGACACAGGCTCGCACACACACCCCATGACACAGGCTCGCACACATACCCCATGACACAGGCTCGCACACACACCCCATGGCACAGGCTCGCACACATACCCCATGGCACAGGCTCGCACACACACCCCATGACACAGGCTCGCACACATACCCCATGGCACAGGCTCGCACACACACCCCATGACACAGGCTCGCACACATACCCCATGGCACAGGCTCGCACACATACCCCATGACACAGGCTCGCACACATACCCCATGACACAGGCTCGCACACATACCCCATGGCACAGGCTCGCACACATACCCCATGGCACAGGCTCGCACACATACCCCATGACACAGGTGAAGGTCAGAGGACAACTTGCAGAAGTTAGTTCTCTTTCCGCCATGCGGGTCCTGGGGGTCAAACTCGGGGCATCAGGTGTAACAGCCTTGACCCGCTGAGCAATCTCATCATCTCCCTCGTTTTTCTTTTTGAAAGTTCGAAAGTCCAAACAAAATAAGATACCAAGTGAGAAGTGGATCTCTGATTCCTGCCCGCTCCTAATGTGTGACCGTCTTGGTTACTTTTCTCTATGTTGAGACGAATATATGACAAGAAGCAACATTAAGAGAAGAGGGGTATATGTTGCTTTCCAGTTTGAGGGGGTACATTCCATCGTGTCAGGAAGGCATGAAAGAGTGAGTAGAAGGTTTGGAAATATGAGCAGAAGGCATCTAGTCACATCGCTTTCTCAGGAAGCAGGGAGTGTTAATTTCTAGTGTGTACGTCAGGTTTTTGGTTTGTTTTGTTTTGTTGGAGGCGAGGTTTTGCTATGTAGCTCTGGTTGACCTCACCTCTAGATCCTCCCACCTTAGCCTTCTAACTGATGGGATTATAGGTAATACCACCAGCTGAGATTCTATATTTTAGCCCATATCCGAACAGAATTGAACATATTTCCTCCATCTCCCCCCACCCCAAGTCATAAAGCCCTACTCATTTTGTGTCTGGTGCCATTGTGGCCACCCATGCTACATGTTCTTAACAGATCTTTCTACAGACTTGGGCTTCCAGAGTAAAGATGGTTGCTACTCAACTCCCCAGAGAGCTTGCTTCTCCCTGTCTAGCCTGTGTCCTCCTATCCATTCTCTAGAGGCACAGGCTAGGTAGGTGTGGGGTCCACTGGTCACCTCAGGGCTACTAGGAATATGACTGTAGCTAGCTTGATGGACATACCTAGCTTAAACTTGTGTGTGTGCATGCATGTGCATTCACAGACATGACTGTGGAGGCCAGAAGACAACCTTGAGTGTTCTTCAGGTTTTGTCCACTTATTTTTTTGTTGACGTAGGGTCTCTGATTAGTCTGGAACTCACCAGGTAGGCTAGGCTGGCTGGCCAGTGAGGCCCAGAGATCTGCCTCTCAGCCTCCCCAGCAATAAGATCTAAGAGTGTCCCTACATTGGCTTCTTTTTTTTCACACATGAGTTCTGGAGATCAACCTTTGGTCCTTGAGCTTGCAAAGCAAGCTCTCTATTGACTGAGCTATCTGAGCCCCCAAACTTACATTTTCAAGTTCGTTGGGTTAACCCTTCACTGGAGTCAAGGGCCATGCTTTGCAGACAGTGATTCTTAGCTTAGGGTATGGTAATATAGAGGCCCATGTAGTTGGAAACCATTTGTTATCACAGTTTCTACATTTTGAAGTGGAAAACGGTTACATACCTTTCTGGCATCAGCCACAGAAAGTAGAGCATGGCAATTTTGGCCTTAGAGTGTGAGTTAAAAATAAATATTGAAGAACATTAGTTAGAACATTGTTTTCCAGAACCAAGGCCTTAGGCTGGCCAACCTGAGGGCATTCCTGCCGTGATGAGCCTTGTGCCTCTTTCTCTTGAATTCCCTTTATTCCCTGAGGGGTCATTTGTTTCAGAGGCATGGTAAGTGTTGGGAGATGCCCTGTAGACAAGTATCTGCTTTTGAAGTGTGTTCCTTGCTAGCCATTGAACAGAGTGGAATACGAATTGAGATTAGAAATGATGCCAGCACTCAGAGCAAGAAACAATTGTTTTGAAAGAAAAGTAGACTGAAGGCCTTACTTGACTCTTCAGCATTTTTATTTCCCTTGGCAAAATTGTCGAAGTATCCTGGACTTTTTTCTTTTAGATTTATGTATTATTTTAAAAATTTATTTTGTTTTATGTCTATGAGTGTTTTGCCTGCATGTGTAACTATCAGTTCACCACTTGTGTGCCTGGTCTATAACTCCAGATCCCTTGGAACTGGAGTTATAGACAGTTGTGAGCTGCCATGTGGGTGCTGGGAATCCAAACCTGGTCCTTTGAAAGAAGAGCCAGTGCTCTTAACTGCTGAGCAATCTCTTTAGCCTCTCTTTTTACTTTTAATTAGATTTATGCATGTGTGTCTTGTGGGTGGGTATGTGCACATGTGTACAGGTTTGGGAGGAGGCCAAAAGAGGGCATTGGATCCCTCAGAGCTGGAGTTACAAGTAGTTGGGAGCCACCTGATGTGGGTGCTGGGAATTTGTATCCACCGCAAGAGCAATATGCACTCTTTTTGTTTTTGAGACAGGGCTTCTCTTTATAACGCTGACTGTCCTGGAACTCACTCTGTAGATCAGGCTGGCCTCGTGTACCACCACTGCCCAGCAGTAATTTACACTCTTAACCACTGAGCCATCTCTTTAGCCTCTCTGGTGCGGCAGGGGTGGGGGTGGGGGGTGGGGGGTGGTGGGGGCGCGGGTGGTGGTGGTGGTAAGGCTAGTGCTACCATGGCTGTGGGAGCCCATTTTCAGGTTTTCTAGTGCCTTTACCCAGCAGGTCTTCATAGAGAGGATGATTGGACCACAGGCCTGAGTGCAGGTGTCTGAGATTGTCTGCATTTGGCTGTGCTGGGGGGAGGTCCTTTGCTCAACCCCTTGGTGTTTCTATAAATACCTTAGGGCAGAGATGGTCAGGGCCCATTGTAATAGGTTCCAGGCCCTCTTGAGGCTATCCTGTATTTTCTATCTGTTTATCTCCACAATCTAAATCCTTCTATCTAATATTTCCTGCTGCTTGCACTCAAGAAAACTCTGAGGAACTGTGGGGTTGGTGGGTAAATGCCCCGCAACAGGCTCTCATTTAGCCCAAGCTAGCTTTAAACTCTATGTAACTGAGTATGACCTTGAACTCAGTCCTTTTGCCTATACCTCCCAAGTGCTAAGATTACAAGCATGAGCCATCATACTTGGCAATATATATTTAAAATTTTTTACTTTTAAAATAAAAAAAAATGCTGAGTGTGATGTCACATGCCTTTAATGCCAGCACTTGGGAGTCAGAGGCAGGTGGATCTCTGTTGAGTTTGAGGCCAGCCTGGTCTACAAAGTGAGTTCCGGGACAGCTAGGGCTGTTATGCAGAGAAACCTTGTCTCGAAAAATCAAAACCAAAAAAAAAAAAAAAAATTGTATTCCTTGATGGTTCTATGTATGTGTATGGTGATTTTTAGTTCTTTTCACTCCCATTATTCTGTCTCTCCCGCTTCCTTCTCCCACTGAAACTTGTCTTCTTTCCATTATCCCCTTCTAATTCAAATCTTATTTTGGTTTCTATGACCTACTGAGTTTAAATAGGGTCTGATGACTTTTCTTTTTAATCTCGAAAGTAGTGAGTCAGGCAACAAGATGGCTCAGGAAGAAGAAGGTACTTAACACCAAGTCTGACAACTGACTTTGGTCCCCTCGTCACACTACTCATGTTGTCTTCTGACCTCCGCACATGTACTGTGACCTGCTGGTGTATGCACTTGCTCACATGTACATACGTGCAATAAACACACATTAGATAAATAAAAGATTCAGAAAAATAAAGAAGGTGCATCAGGCTAAGATTACTCTAAAATCTAAGTAATCAAGAGTGAATACTTGACAAGTATTGTTAGAGGTTTTTGCTCTTTTTTGGGGGGGCCCGCCAACCAGCTCCCAAATAAATCACACACGGAGGCTTATTCTTACTTATGAATGCCCGGCCCTAGCTTGGCTTGTTTCTAGCCAGCTTTCCTTACCTTAAATTATCCTATTTACTCTGGGCTTGTCCATTCTCTTACTTCTGTAAATCTTACTCCGTGCCTTGCTGTGTGGCTGTGTGGCTGGCCCCTGGCGTCCTCCTCCTTCTCTGGCCCCTAGATCTTAGATCTCTCCTCCCAGTTTTCTCCCTCTATATATTCTCTCTGCCTGCCAGCCCTTCCTATCCTTTTTCCTGCCTTGCTATTGGCCAGTTCTTTATTAGGCCATCAGGTCTTTTACACAGGCACAGTAACACAGCTTCACAGAGTTAAACAAATGAAACATGAACAAAAGTAACACCTTAAAATAATATTCAACAACAGACAAGAGAGACATGTCTTAGAATTTGATTTATTAACAGTATCTTGCTCTCACAGCTAGATCTTTATGATTGCAAAGGATTCAATAAGTAGGTGGTGATGGGGCTCCTTGATGGCTTCTTCATTGTGATATCTTTTTGAAAAATGCTTGGAATTCTTCGAAACTGACTTCTCCATCGCCATTCTTATCCAGCTCTTCAAAGAGATTGTCTAGAGTACTCGAACCCTGGTTTTAGACAAAAAGAATGGGGTAGGAGAAGGAAGAAAATTTAGATAGGATACTGGAACGCATCTCTGAAATTAGAGGAACTGGATTTTTCCTTCCAAGAAGGCAGCCTAGGTTTCAGTCACCTGCCACTGACAATATAATGATAGGTGTGGTTTTATGTAACATAACTGGGTTCTGTCTTCCTTTTTTATTTTATTTATCTTTGAAACAGGCCCTCATTATGTAGCCCTGACTATGTAGAACAGACTAGCTTCGAACTCAACAGAGATCCACCTGCCTCTGCCTCCAGAGTCCTGAGATTAGATGAGTGAGTGCACCACCCCTCCCCCATTGAAAACATACTTATGTGCATGTGTGTGCATCTGTCTGTGGGCATGTACTTGTGAGTGCAGTTGCCCCCAGAGCCCATTAAATGGCATCAGCTCCTCTGGAGCTATAGGTGCTTGTAAGTTACTTGAGAGGAGTGCTGGATCTGAATCCAGGTCTTTTGGAAAGAGCGTCATGTGCTCTTAACCACTGAGCCATCTCTCCAGCCCCTTGCTCTTTAGAAAAATTTAACACTATATAGCACATTTATTATTCTCTGATAGCCATAATCTGCATTTTGATGTATTTGATAAGATCTAAACTTTCTTTGTTTTGTTTTAGAGGCAGGGCTTGTCTATTTAGCCCTGGCTGTCCTGGAAGAGATCTGAACTTCTTTATGTCTCTGAAAACAATTCTTCAAATTGGACCTGGTAGCTCAAGCCTGTAATCCCAACTACTTAGAAGGCTGAAGCAGGGGGATTGCATTGAGTTTGAGGTTAGCTTGGATGGCATAGTGAGTTTTAGGTCAGTTTGGGCTACATAGACCCTGTTTCAAAAATGATAAAATTCTAACAATTTATCACGTATCCATTTAAAAAAGATTTATTCATGTTTTTAAAGATTTAAAGAAAATTTTATGAGTATGTGCATTTTGTCTGCATGTGTAAATATGTGCCATGTGTATTTGGTGCCCACAGAAGCAAGAAGAGGACATTGGATCCCCTGAACCCAGAGTTAAAGATGGTGTGAGCAGCCATGTGCCTACTGAGACCCAAACCTGGGCTCTCTGCAAGAGTAGTAAATGCTCCTAACTGCTGAGCCATCTCTCCAGTCCCTCATCTAGCCATTCTTATGCGGACAGTTCAGTAGTGTTAAGTATATATAAGTACTTTACTATGCAACCAATCTCCACATGCATGTGTGAAGTCTTGGGTTCAAGTCCCAGCAACACATGCACAAAGTTATTGTGAATTATAAGAAAATTAGGAAACACCAGATTATGATGTTAATGTTTTCAGCTCTGTGTGTGTGTGTGTGTGTGTGTGTGTGTGTGTGTGTGTGTGTTCTAAAAACAAAAGTCATGTGGATTTCAGCTGGAGCTCAGTGGTAGAGTGCCTGTTTAGCCTTTGCTAGGCCCTGGGTTGTATGTGGCCATATCTGCACAGGGCTGTGCTCAGTATTTCCGAGGCAGTCCTCAGCCCCAGGCCCTCAGCTGTCCTCCCCTCCCACCCTCAGAGGTGTGCACTCACCTTCAGGAGACTGGGGAATTCTGACTGAATCAGCAGCTTCAGCTCCTCCTTTGATAGCTGGTTTGGATCGCCTTCCTTGGCTGCATATTTTTGGAAAATGCTCTTCATTTCTTCAGGAGACTTCTTAGTGCTCATTCTGCTGTCCTCTAAATTGGGAAGAAAATAGATTTACCAAAAAGCTGAAGTGGAGCTTCCATGTCACGTGTTCCCCACAAGGTTTTCCTCCCCCCATTTATTGGGAGAGACAAGGGGGAGAAAAAGGAAAAGGGAGAGAAGAGAGGTAGATGGGAACAGCATTATTAGTTCCTAAATGATTTTAAAAATAGCTGTTAGTGGAGTGCTTGCTTAGCCTGCTGGAAGCCCCGGGCTCGCTCTCCCCGCAGCACTCCAGAAGCTAGTGGGCCGTGTTCAGATCACACGGAGCTGCTCACCAGTCAGTGCAAGCACTGGAGGAGTCAAGCCGCAATGCAAGGGGTGAGAAGCGGCGAGAAGCTGAGGAGGAGCTCTTTTATAGTCTTTACAGACATACCACCTGATTAGGAAATTCCCCTCTGTTTACTCCTTAAGGGTAATGATTAATGGGTTCTGAAACCAGGCTTAAGACTCTCAGTTAAGGGCAAGCTCCGATAAAGAGTGACTTCAACAGTTGCTTAATGGTTCAGGGTCCCAAGAATAAAACCTGTATTTTCTTTTTCTTAGAATAATTTTCCCTCCAATATAGAATTTTTATCTTGCTCACAGCTCACATTTCTGAAAGCAATAAGATTGCAGATTTAGGCTTGAAAAATTTTTCTTCCTATGTAGAAAAAAAATTCTGTCACAGAAGGACAGTATTACACAGCTTTTAAAATACAGAATTGGAGCCAGGCAGTGGTGGCGCATGCCTTTAGTCCCAGCACTCGGGAGGCAGAGGCAGGCAGATCTCTGTGAGTTGGAGGCCAGCCTGGGCTACAGAGGGAGATCCAGGACAGGCACCAAAACTGCACAAAGAAACCCTGTCTCAAAAAAAAAAAAAAAAAACCACAACAGAATTGGGCCGGGTAGTGGTGGTGCATGCCTTTAATCTCAACACTCAGGAGGCAGAGGCAGGCAGATCTCTGTGAGTTTGAGGCCAGCCTGGTCTACAGAGTGAGTTCCAGGACAGCTTGGGCTACATAGAGAAACCCTGTCTCAAAACAAACAAACAAACAAACAAAAAAGAGAAGATAGATAAAAATTTCTGATTTTATTTGGCAAAGTAAGATTTTTGAGTAACATGCCATTTTCTTTTTGATTATTGTTCCTCTCTCTGCTTTTTATTTCTTTATACTTACATCCCTCCTTCTCGCTCTACTTCTTTCTCCCTTCCTCCCTTCTTTCCTCTCCCTCTGTCACTCCTGGCTACCCTGGATATAGCTTGCTATATAGACCAAGTTAACCTTGAACTTATAGAGATCTGCCTCCTGCCTCCTGTATTGGAATTAACAGTGTATGCCACCAAGTCTGGCAATATTTCTCCTGTTTGTAACAAAATATATTTTGCTAAATCATTCTAAAACTTGTGAAAACACTCAACTTACGCTTAAGCCATTGGAACGATTTCAGAATTTTTGGACTAGCCAGGATTTGAAATTAGAGATGAAATTGATTTTTTTTTTTCCTGGAAAGAGGTCCATGAAAAGCTAGGACATTTCTTGGGGACATTACTCTAATGCTGATTATAAGTCACAGGTAGGAGTTCCAGATTGACTTCAAAAGCACTTCAACAGCTTTTAAACACTTGGACACTTAAACTTTTCTCTGACCTGCAGTATACTACCTACAAATTCAGGTTTGAAATGTGGGACTGTACTTGGCCCAGATGTTTTTTTGCCTCTAAAACTCTAGGACCTTATTTACATTGGAGAACAAATGTGAAATGCTGTGGTGTTGCTCACATGATTCTGGTCAATCCTGAGCATTTATTATTCTATAGGTCTTGTATGTTTTATTGCAGTTTACCTGACTCCAGTACAGACTTATGTATTAACCCACTTATATGTGTGTGTGTGTATACATGTGTGTGTGTATATGTGTGTGTGTGTGTATGTGTGTGTGTGTATGGGTGTGTGTATGAGTGTGGTGTATACATGTGTACACATGTGTGTACAGTTGTGTAGGGTGTCAGGTGTCCTGTCCTGCTCTATTAGTCTTCCACCTTATTCCCTCGAGATAGGGTTTGTCATGGAACCTGAGCTAGGTTGGTAGCCAGCAAGCCCAGTGAACCCCTTCTCTGCTCTCCACCCCCATAGTGCTGGGGTTACAGGCACACAGCCAGGCCTGACCTATTACATGGGTGTTGGGATGTAAATTCAGTTCCTTGTGCTTATGCTCAAGTGCTCTTACGCTCTGAGCTCTTATATCTCCAAACTCATTATTTGTTGATTTTTGGAGCCAGGGGCTCTCAGGAGGCCCAGCCTGGCCAAGGATAACTTGAATTCCTGGTCCTTCTGCCTCTACCTCAGCTGTGCTGGGATTGCGGGTGTGGGCTCCCATGGCCAGCTTGTATGGTTTTTAGTTGATGATTTTACATGGTAATACTCTGATTTTGGCTACGGTTTTTTAAAGGTTTTAGCAAATTTCCAGTGTTTTTGTTTGCTTGTTTTACATGTAAGTTCTAGTTTCCTGGGAGGAAGTGAGCTTTTGTGACTAATCATAGTAAGGACTATAGTTTTTCCTCCAATGTCTTTCTTTGTTGCCGTTGGTTTTTGAGACAGGATCTCTTTGTGTAGCCCAACTCACAGTGTAGTCCAGGCTACCCTTGAACTCCTTCCTGGTCCTCCTATCTCAGTCCTCCTGATTGATTGCCTCACTCTAACATCTTTAAGGTTTTTTGTTTTGTTTTGTTTTGTTTTACATCTAAAGCAAAGTGGCAAGAATAATACAGAAGTGTACCTTTTGATTAGACTCTACCTGCTAACATTTCCACATGTGCTTTCCCCTTTTCTGGGCCAATTCTTTCCTCCTCATCAATCATTTGAGAAGAAGTTGTGGAATCTCACTGGTTTCCTGCAAATACCTTAGCCTGTGTCTCCTAAGGACAAGAACTTTTTTCGATAGAACCTCAGTGGTGTTATCACAGCATATTTCAATCTCCTCAATTGTTTTCTCAAATGATCATTTTGGAGCTAAAACTGATGGTAGCTGGTGTTATATTTCTTGTGGCTATATTGAAAAAATGATTTTAATTACTACATATAATCCAAATATCAGTAGATTATATGACAGATGTTTTATATACTGTACTTACTTCATATCATGTGGCACAGATGATGTATAAAAGTATAACAAATACATAATACATGAATTCTAAGGATCAGGTTTAAAGTAGTCTAGGCCATGTCTAGTTTATGTGGTGTTGGGGATGGAAGCCAGGGTTTCATGCATGCTAACTAAGCAAGCACTCTACCAACTGAGCTACATTCCCAGCCCAAAGGATTTTTTTTTCCTTCAGGCATTCCATGCTATTGACTCTGAGCAGAATAACGTGGTCACAGAAGCCGCAGGTGCCGAGAGTCTTCCTGAGGGGGTAAAAAAAATTAAGTCTGTCCAAAGATCAAGCAACTGAGCAGAGAGGTGCTGCTTAACCTTTGCCTCTCCATTTTTCCATTACCAACCTTGTACCCGTCATTCTTTCCCCTTTTCTCATTTCAAAACACACTCTTTTGAACACACCCTGCATTTATGGCAGGTTTCCATACATTGTTAGTTAATGTTTCATGAGACTATTAGTGGATTTTCGTTTCTGACTGCTGGGTTACCCTTGTGCTAAGATAAAGGTAAAAATAAGGCATGAGAGAGAACACTGGAGGCGATGAGCATGTAAACCTGAGAAGAAGCACAGGGTATTTTTCAAGTTCTGTTAGCGTTGGCTACAAGCCTGAGTTCTGACAGGCAGCATGGGGCCATTTTAAGCAGAGATCTTCCCTTGAAATGAGGGATGTGTAGACTCAATAACTTTTGGCCTATGTGGTGCACACCTGTAATCCTAGCACTTGGGAGGTGGAGAAAGGGGAATCAGAAGTTTAAGGTCCTCCTCTGATACATATAGGGAGTTTGAGGCCAACCTGGGCTACATGAGACCTTGTCTTAAAAAATCCTTTTGTATTACTAATTGTATTAGTGTTACTAATGACCAGGTCCCCACAAAACAAGGTGGATGTGAAATGCTATTGTATGTTATCTTTTTGACTTTGAAATTTAAAATACCCTGAACTCATCCTTTCTAAGGAACTGAATTTTGGTTATTTAAAAGGATAACTTAATTTTAGTTGTCCTTAAAAGTGACAGCATACCTGTCTCCCCCCCCACACACACTTGGCCTTTATGTGGTGCCTGCCCTCCCTGGACCATCAGAGTTCATTTTCTTTTCTCCATCCAGCCTTGGCCTGGAGTGTGTATCTCCTGTCTGTACTGTCTTCAGTTCTGAGTTCCCAGAGGCATCCACATAGGAGCCAGTGCTTACTGAGGACTTTGGTTGTGGTCTGTTTTTATACTACAGGCACTCAACTTCTGTAGCCCCCTGAAACCATTGTAGCAACACTATGAATGGATACTGTTCCCTTTGGTCTGTATATAGCTATACAAAAAGGACAGCATTGGATTCCTGTTGCTGCTTTATTAAGTTCTTACCAACACAGTACCTGGGGCAACTTGCTCCCTTTTGTAGGTCAGAAGTTTAAAATGAGCTGACAGGACATGTTCCTTCTGAAGTTACAGGAGAGACTGCTTAGGTTTTCACCTTCTGGAGGCTGCTTGTTCATGGATACACTCTCCATCCTGAAAGCCAGAAGCTTGGCATCATCCAGTCTGTCTGTAATGTCTGCTTTGCTATCATTTCACCTCTGATTCTGTCCTTCCTTCCTCTCTCAAGGTCCCACATGATTATATGGGTTTATCCTCATAACCCCGAATAAACGTCTGTGCCAGGGGTGAATTCCTTAGAAATGATGACTTCATCCCGCCTCTCCTCTCTCCAGCTTATGTGATGCCTTCTGTCTTATCATAACACAGCAAGAAAGCCCCCTCCCACTTCCAGGAACTTTAACATAATCCCATTTGTAAATTCTAATGTCACAAAAGGTCCACGTGTTCTTAGGGTCTAAGAACTAGAATGTGAAAATCTTTGGAGGGGTATGGGAAATGAATTAACAATATGTAGATGATTTATTTGGTAAGGAGAGCATATTCATTATAGGGCAATAAGGAGAATTGGAGCATGTCTCAAATCATGGGCTCTTTGGTGAAGTAGGGAGAAGGCCTCTTTAGAAATGGAATGAAGAAGTGGTGTGTATATGGGAGTGTGGTGGGGGACAGGGAGTGGAGGAGCCATTGGCATTGGACTTGCCTAGCTGAGTAGAAAGTACAGGTTTGAATCTAT